TACTATTCAGAATAGTACAAAAATGCTTTGGACCGTAGAAAGAAGTTGAATGACCATTGTGAGGATGAGCTTGTATAACCACTTTAGTATGCGATGTTAGATGGATGGTAAAGGTAGGAGCACATAGGTACCTATGTCCTTATCTTGCATGCGAAAGATGTGCACAGTAAAATACAAGATCAGCGATCTATTCACCGTGAGTTCTTCACTTCTGACACGTATTACAATTCCTGTGATGGTAAAACGAAATAAAAGCTGAACTCTTGTAAACAGGAAGAAAGGTCGCACGTATCCTGTGCGTCATTCGGTACGAACATCACCGTCATTCGGTCGTCCACCACATTCAGCATGGTGCATTGAACAGCAAGGACATGTATTACTCATTACGTGCACGCGTCATTATATTGTATAACATTGTTGTCCAAATAGTCTTTTTTTTTCTATCGTCAATTCGAATTATTTGCAGCAATAGCGAACGTTGTTAAAGTCTGTACATGATATAAATTATTAACATAAAAATACAGACTATTAGAAGGAATTGTAATATATGCTAATACATAACGTCATTAAAATAAATTTTATAAACATGAAGCTACAAATGAAGATTATATATCATTATTTTATTTATTTCAAAAGAATTTAACATCCTCTTTAATCTTATTAAAACAATATGTCTTTAAAAGCGTCTTTAATTTGTATATATATTGCATTATAATGTATTGTAATATTGTATATAATATACACATAATCTGACGAGACTTGTATAATTCAATATATTTCTTCGTTAATACTCTGGCTGTCCGAATTGATTTGTAGACGGACAATTGCTTTCAAGGTTTACATGATATTATGCAAGCACCACTCGCGACATTGGCGTGCCATAATAATGCAGGTATATCGGTGAAAAGAAAGATAGGCGATATCTCGGATTTCTAAACGACTCAGTTAAATGCTCAAAAAGCATAATTAAGCACATTTTCTAGAATACTTTTTCAAATATTTTACGTTTCTAAAACTTTCAATAATTTATATGGTATACACGAAGATCAAAGCTCTACTTAGCGCAGAATCAAAGCAAATATATATTGCAAATATATTGTCGTTATTGTCATGCATCTGACGCAGTTATGAATATACATATATCAATTTTATTAATGTTATTTGATGCAAATCAGGTAAATGGTGATGTATGGAGCAGCCTGATAGTAAAGAACTTGAGAACAAGGTCGAAAGGTTATGCGACCGCTTACGTAACTCGAAGCTACTGACTGACCCGCCTCTATGTACATATGTATGTATGTATACAAGCTTGGGCAGGTCTCGTGAAACGTTTTATCGTCTAGAGATAGTAACTATAGCATCGAATGACGTCATGGAATGATCGCGACCGCCTTTAGTCACCGACGTCATGAGCTCGCCAGGAATCTAAAGAATTTTGTTAAGAAGGAATAAAGGGCAAAATATTATTTTTGTTTACAAATATATGAAATACATATAAAAATAGATACAATAAATAAAAGTATACGAGAAGAAAAAATCGGATTTATTTATTTTGTTCCTAATCTAAACAGAGAGAGAATACAAGTCATCAAAATGGCTCCAAAATAATTACTAAAAATCACTTCTCAAAACAGTTACGATTTGTTTTAACAAAAAAATTTTTGACATTATTGTAACTTGATTTGTTTGAGTAACTGCGATTTGATTTATTTCGAGATATTTAGAGATATACGTGAATTTCAATTTATTAAGGATTTACGCCTCGCAATTATTAGAAAGAGAATTGCTTGTTTTTATCAAAGGGGAAATGAAGTGTTTGAGAATTAAGATGCTGAATATAGGAGGGATCCTTAGTTATAAGGACGCTTTCGATCGAAGCGGAAACGGTGACGCGTGGGAAGCTGCGCGTATCTATACTACCTTTTAGTGGAACAACAATCCGATCGATGAGCCGGTTTGTCAGTTTTGAACTACTTACACCATCACCCAGAAAAGACCCGCCAAGTTTAAACGAGCCGTCAAAACGCACGTCATTGAAACGTAAACAACGAAGAAAAACATTTTCATTATCTTAGAGTGCTAAAAGATCAATAGGAATATGCACACAACTAAAAACTATTTGCGATGCGTTTTAATGATGATTTATGACGCAAATTAGCGTATAGCGGTTTCTCTAAATTTACATTGGCGTCTTTAAGGTGCTTCGTTGAGAAAAGGCTAAGATTATCAGGCAAGCTGTTAACAATTGATAAGAATTAATTAAAGGTACTTAATCATTTTCAAAATTTATTTCTCTATTAGTATATAATTAAATGTATAATAGGATTATGTCTAAAATTTAAATACTCTGTGCAAAGAAAGAGCGATTTTGCTGAAGTATCCAAAAATTTAGTATCCTACAAATTTGAAATAATTTTATTGGACAGAATAATTACATAGAAAAATCTCTCAAACATAATAAGCAATGATGTAAAAATTTGATATTCTATCAACAATTTTAAGTGTCCTACATATAAAAATTTTGATAATCTGATAAATTTATTTTCAGATCTGTATCTAGCTAAACTTTAAATACTTCAGAAAAACCTTTCCGTGTAAAAGAAAAAAATCTCATTTTAATATCTTAAATATTTCCAATCCATTTTATGCCATTACGTTTTGTACCCTATAACTGTTTTATAATATGATAAAATAATAATTAAATGTATAATCGGGATTATATCCATATATTATTTGTATTATTAAAAATTTGAATTTTTCGTGGAAGAAAAAATCACGCTTTGGTGTCTGAAATATTTGCATCCCATTTTATGCAAGCGATTACCTCTTCTACTCTATAATATAATAAGATAACAACGCTCGCGCTACCCGGCTCTTCACCGTTTAAAAGGGATCGGTCGACCGGCGTATGCGCATACGTACACAATTACCACGGCCAATCGGGGGACCGGATCACCGGTAGAACGAACCTTCGTCGTATTGTACAGACGTCGATGTCGCTCCAAAGGTTCCCGTTCTGTAGGTCCGTTCCCTCGCGCACATCGTCGCGCACCAGCGTCGGCTCAGTCCGATATCGACGTTCGTACGAGGCGCATTATTCACTGAGCCACCGCGCACGCTGCGAAATTTTACGCGGGCTTCTAGCCGTCTGCGTTTTTCGCAATTTCTACTGACGGAAACGAAGAGTTAGAGCAACGAGATACAATCGAGGAAACGGATACTGAGTACGACGCAGTGGAGTGAGGAGTGGTATACATGGGTACCAAAGGTCTCAGAAGTCTTGCTCTTCAACTATACACGCGTATTCGCAACGACGTCAGTCCGACCCGTCCGAAGATTGCCAAGTTTAAGTAATAAACTGGCAGATAATTATATATTCTCTGATACCAAATTTGAAACAACGATAACAACGACGACGACGACGACGACGACGACGACGACGACGACAACGACGGCGGCGGCGGCGGCGGCGGTGGCGACAACAACGACGAGAGGAGCAACATTGACGTCGGCGATCACGTCTTCCTCGTGCGCAGAGTTGGGCCGAGGGAGACCAACTATGATTCTGGACTCATGACTTCCACCAACATCGACTCGCAAACGGCAGCGACTTAAAGGAATCTGACTTATGAAACGAGAACAAAGCGGGAAGACTGCGGACGCTGATTTCGACCGAAACTGAAGAGGCGCCGAAGAGAATTTAGGGGCTGACGAGAACTACCCTCTGTGAAAATCGAGCTACTTTAAATTTCAAACGTCGTATCTTCACTGCTTCGGGAAACCAAAAATTAGAACCTCTCATCCCTCTTTCTTTCCTCTCTTTCTCTTTTTCTCTTTATCCCTCTTTCGCTCTCTTCTCTCCTTTTCTCTACTGCTCTCCCTCATTTCAGTGTCTCACTTCCGCGCGGAAGATCGATCGATATTTCGTCCCGACGACGGCTATTAACGACACGCGTACTTTCATTCGCTCCCTCTCACACTCCGTTTTTCACGCTACGATTGCTTCCAAACGTTAGATGCGCCAACCCCTTTTGCAACCAACTGGTCGCTTCTTTCATCAATGTCAGATAGCGCGAGTTAAAATCCCGCGTATCCCTCAATCCCGTATCGGTATTCTTTGACAGCGAGGACTATAGCACGTGACCCGTTGGTTCCCTCATATCGTCTTTCGTCAGCCGGCGCTCGATTTTTATCGGGTCGCCTACGTGCCACCCACTCCATTTGGCGAATAGGTCCTACCCTATGACGTATCCTTCCTCGCACTTCACGTCCTTACCATCCTGCCGCAGCCTGTTTCTACGCGGCCGCGTATGCATCCGCAAACAGTCAATAAGGAGTACTATTGGAGCACACACGTATCAAAAAGAAACGAACGGAACTCGGATAAGAAACCATTCCTTTCATCGCCAGGAAGGGATATATGCGTAATATTAAGAAACAAATTGTTGCTGGTTATTTCTCGAGGAGGGAGAGACCGATCTCAATATTTTTTCGGACGCCATAGTGCGGACGCTGGTTAACATTACGAATAAATAGTGAAGAGATAATTACTGTTGATACTGTTGTTATTCTTGTTATATTAACTTTATTGTTATCCCCGTTATTGCTGTACGTTCGTTGCTCATCCGTTCTCGCTGAAGTCGATGAACAGCGTGGCGGTGATAGTGGTAGTGAGGGGTATATGAGCCCGCGAACGGTGTTTCTGCCAAATTTCTCGTGTAAAGAAGGAAAGAAAGTGAAGAGAAGGAGACTGGAATTCTTTAAGTCTAGAGATTCTTTAACTTCATACAAAGATCAAACAGTGAGATCGGAATCCGTGTGTACGCAAGGAAAAGGAAATAAACAGGCGGCAGGAAGTGGAGAAGAGAAGCGCGTTGGGGTCGCGCGTCGAGTGAGTTTGGCAAACAAACACGAAGAGTGTGCTGAAGATCTCAATTAAGTACACCACCCGCCGGGAGGAGTGATCGATTCATTGTGTACCCATCGAGACCCACAGGAGAATGGTAGTCGAGACCGGAAGAAATGGGCACGAGCTGGCTCCCTTGAACAACCACCGCCAACCCGGCCACAACGTGACGATCGTGGCAGCAGCAACTCAAAATGTTGCTGGTCGAGAAACGAAGGAAGAGAACAGGGCGGCGTGGAGTGGGAAAATGCAATTTTTTCTCAGTATTATCGGATACAGCGTCGGTCTGGGCAATATCTGGAGGTTTCCTTATTTGTGCCAACAGAACGGAGGTGGTAAGTATTAATGGGATTCGATATATGAGATTAGACTTTGTTCTATATCGCTGCACTAGATTGCATTAATTTTTCTTTGCTTTCGCCAAATGTATATTTTATTTTAAGCGCAACTAGTATGTTGCATTAGTTCAGCCAAAGAACAAACTTTAATCGCAATGCGCAGGTACAGGCACGATAGAGTAAATTAATATTAAATGTATCATTTTATTAATTGGTGAAAATAAAATCGGAACGTAAGTTGAATGAAGAAATAACAAATTATAACAATTGGATTTTCGTAAATATAAAACAAATATTATTTTAACGTTTATGCTTGCTTGTTATTATTAATAAGCTATATGTTTTTAGTTTTACGACCTTCGTGCAGCAGGCGATATGGGGTATTCTTGAACCATATGCGTGTCAACGGATAGCTAGATAAATTTTCCAGTTTCCCATGTATACAAGCATATACCTATGTTTACATACATTATATATATATATATA